TCAGATTAGAGTTTGGACAGTTTGATAAAGATATTTGTAGAGTTGGGGTTAGTTAATTAATAGATTGAAGCTAATGTTTTAGATAATCATCTATTGGAGCTAAGATTCGTATATAATAGGTGTGAAATGTTCAGAAGTCGGGAGTGCTTTACTAGGATTTAGACAGTACATGTAACATCTTTCGTTTGTACTGTGCCTCCTCAATGTATATATGTAAATAAATTACTGCATTGTTTACTGACTTTTTATTTGGATTGAGAATTACAAGAGTTACCAGGATTTACTAATCACGGATATATACCAACAATTGGATATGTATATGGAAATCATAAGAGTTAAAATTGCTCGGTCACCTCCGTGACAAATCTTCTACACCTTACAGAATTTACAGGACGACAAAAGGATGATAGCCGCCTTCCACCTACATCTAAAGGCTAGTTCACCACATTGGACGTTGCCGATAAACTTTCTTGGATAGTACTAAAGGGGGTATTTCAGGCCCAATACCTCAGCAAAAGTATTTGTGGTCATTTCCGGAATCTGCCATTTTTGACGTCTTGATCCTCCAGCCTGGGGCTCCGATAGAAGGCTTCCACATCTAAGTTCTTGAAAAAGGGTTCAGGCTGTACAAGTCAGCGAGGGATCTTACGGTCAAATTTATAAATGGACTTCTCTAAAAACTCCTTTCTTTGTCCGCTCGGCGAATCCAAAGAATCTACAAGCCGCATTCCAGCAGGCCAAACTAAGGGGGGGGGGCTATGGGTATCGGCAGCCTACGGTCCCGGTCGCAGCAGTTACAACCAAGGAACCTTAGCCAACCTCTACTAATATGGAGGAAGTTTTGACACAGCGAGTGAAAGGATGCACCGGCTAGAGGCAAGGGATCGAGAGAGGAAGCCCGCACACCGTTCAAGACCAGCATCCGCCCACCCGGCCCGGAGAGGAACTCCCAATACGCGTGTTGCAGTGTCGCGTACTGTCATAGAAGGGGCTCGCCTGAACCATCCTTTATGTGCCAGATTTGTAGGCAATATGGACACTGCATGACCTATAAATAGATATCTGTTATGGGAAACTAGCCGCGCCCAGTCTGCAAATCGCACCCACAGTCTGCGGCGGTGAACCAGTATATATAATGATGAAAGTGAATGTGATGAAAATGGTGCTGCATTTATGAAATTAATATTTAGGGACTTATAATGAATTCTGAGCTTTAAAACAGTTTTATCATTTGGAAACAATATTACACTGCATTTTAACTTTTAGCTCTTTGTAAACCCTTACACAGCTGCCCTTATACTTTAAACTGGCCTTCAGCGCTAGGTAAAATGTATGTATTTTGAGAAAAGAAATATTTGCCAACGTAGGGCAATAAATGTACATATCACTGAATTTATCTTGGAGTCCATCTTTAATTCTCTCCAAAGCCTTTGTCTCACAACTTTTTTTGAATAAGATTGACTACTAATGTCCCATGGGTCATTTTCTGCCCAATATTTCATGTCTTCGATGACGCCACATGCTCTACCTCAAAAACTGACAGAAAAGCAATAGCGCGTTTCATTCAGTTACATTTTGCTGCACACGACATGAGGTATACAACTTGTATTACGTGTAAGCTGACCTTCACACAAGGGGCATTAGCATATCATTACTACCTAACACTTTATCGTTAAATCGAAATGAAGAAGATCAAATTAACTAGTAGTCTATAGCTTGGAGAATAGTAACTCGTACGTATTCAACGAAATTGATCTCTAAATAGCTTTTTCGACGTTTATTGAAAAGTACTGAAACTTACTTTAAAGGATTGATCATACAAATATAAACAATAATAGATTCTTACTACGGGATGAACGGTTGCAATGAAAAAGGTGAAGATTACGAACTAGGAATAGCACCGATCGGTAATTCAGCCTCACGGCTAAAAATAGATTAACCCATCATGCCCGCACAGCAGCCATATCAGTTTCGGACAAACAGAGCTTGTTTTATAGTGAAGTCAGCCAGTTGTAATTATGACAAGTTTTCTTAAAAAGGGGGCTACAAAACACTGCTGTTATGGGACATGTAACAGTGATTCTAGGTATCTAGATAGGGCTGAAATGAAGGATGTGTTTTTCATTCGTTTCCCTCAAAAACACAGAGAACCTGAAAAATGTGCTCGTTGGGCTAAAACATGTTGCCGACAGAAATCCACAGCAGAATCTGTGAAAAAAGGCACATACATTTGTAGTTTGCATTTTGTTGGAAATTCAGATCCAACATCTGATCACCCAGATCCAATTCCTGCAACTGCTACCAAATATGAGGTAAACAGGCTTATGCATATGTTGTTGTTTTATCATGTGTTAAATAAACAAGACTCATTTATGTTACCGGGTTCACAAAGTAACAAATATTGTTGGTGTTCCAATCCTTTATATATCCAATATTCAATATTCAATATTCAACAGTCTGAAATAAACACAGACATTATTTAACACACAATAACACACACACATATAAAATACACAAAGAGAGATAACTCTTCTTGTTTCTTAATACTCACTATTCAATAAATATTTCAGGCATAAAAACTATTTCTCATATTAGTATAATATTGAGATTATTCCTACAAAAACTATAATTAACTGTATATGATTTACTTTCTTTGTATTTCGTAATTCTTGTAAACTTCAGTGAATAAAATACGACAGCAGATATTCAAATGTAAGTCACTACTATTAATGAAATAGATACGTTTCCCGTTATGATTCACATAACAATGGAATGTAAATACATAATATACAGACTCACATTACACCTAACATGATACAAACATATACATCACATATCTTACCCAATATATGGTATCAGACCCTTGTTATATATACAGCAATTCAGCTACATGTACATCATATCAAGTGGATCTGAATAATAACAAATATCATAATATACTCTTTACTTATTAATTTATAAAAAAAATGATTCACACATTCACTTTTACTATTCATCAATTGAATGTATTTATAATATTAAAATCAACTGACCTTCTATGGATAAATAAAGTCCAAGATCAATATATCACAAGAACTGAATGACCAAACTGATCATTCCAGACTCAATTTGAAAAATAATAATATTAATAGAAACTTCAAGATAAAAATCACATGACTTAAACTTTCAGCCAACCAAAACAAGAATTCAATGATCCATGAAAAACTGACCAGAACTGGTATGGAAATCCATTTCTGACATATTTAAATAGAATGAGAATAAATTTATGGAAAGCTGTTACTGTAAATGATAAATGTTTTAAATTAAATTTATTTTATAATCTGTTAAAATAAATCAACTCACACACTACTACATTTATATGTTCAGACAAGAAATTATGCAAACTAACATAGTACATAGCACATACTAAGCTTATGTTATTTACTACCTAGGTAGAAAATTTTTTAAAGAAACCGAGAAAAACTGTCCGAAGGAAATTAAAATTATCAGAGAAATTAGACATGCCCAGCACAGTACTATCTATAAGTTTTACTGATTGTGAAACTAATAACAGTAACACATACACAGCTCAGGATATACAGACACATGAAGCTGCCGGCATACTCTTGTCATTGCTACAGGTAATGGAATGAAATTATTTTTCTGGCATTAAAACTGGTATAAATTTCTTATTCCTGCACATAATTTATGATGTTACACATTATTTTAGACCCCCATTCAACAAGAATGTAGTCAGAAAAGCAACAGTTTGAAAAGAACATTTACTGAAGCATTTCCATCTGAAATAGAAAGAGGGGCCCAAAGAATTTTACAGGAAAATTCAACTCAGACAACATCACTTTGCTTAGACTTAAAAGAATCCATAAGTTTAAAACTTGAAAATCATCAACTGAAACATGAGAATGAAGACCTGAAGAAAAAAAATTAATCAGATAGCAAAATCAAAGGAACTTAGCATTGAAATCCTCAAAGACAGTGATAAAGATGTGCGTTTTTACACTGGACTTTCATATTCCCTTTTCCTTCGCCTTTGGAATTTTCTTGGACCAAACACAAGAAATATTTCAAGGGTGAGTTATCCTAGAAAACATGAAGTAACACCAACAAAAGCAAGGGTGCCTAGGCGGAAGCTCACACCACAGGACGAATTACTATTAACTTTGATACGATTGAGACTGGGCCTTCTCCATGAAGATTTAGCTTACAGATTTACTATTTCAGAATGAACTGTTAGTAATATTGTCACAACATGGATACAGTTTCTGTTTCACCAATTCAATAGACTTAGAAACATCATGTTTCCTTCTCGAAAGAAAATCCTAAAGCATCTTCCTTAAAGTTTCAAAAAATTTAAAAATGTAAGAGTCATCCTGGATGCCACAGAATTCTTCACCCAAGCTCCAATAAATTATGAACAACAAGGGAATTTGTATTCTTCATACAAAAATCACTGCACATGCAAAGTCTTAGTCGGGATTACACCATCTGGAGCCATTTCTTTTATATCAGATGTTTATGAAGGTGCGATATCTGACAAAGATATTTTTAAGAAAAGTGGGATTTTAAACAAATTAAATGAGGGAGATCTTGTCATGGTGAATCGTGGTTTTAACATAAGGGACTTACTACTGAAAAAAGGTGCAGATATAGTTATTTCTCCATTTCTGGGAGACAGGGCAAACTTAACGCCACAAGAAGGGGCACAGACAAGAACTAATGCCAAGTTGAGGATCCATGTAGAGCGTGTTATAGAGAGAATGAAGAAATTTAAAATATTAAAAAAAATTGTCCCATTAAACACTCTTACAACATTTTCACAAAGAGTATTTATTGTACCTTGTCTGGTTAATTTTTCAAAGCTTTGTATTAAAATGAATTTATTGAAATATGTATGTAATAAATCAAACTTTAAAAAACAAGTTTTAACTAATTGATTTTATTCATAATTAGTATAATCTTCAAATATTTGACAATTTACAAACTTCTAATTCTCTTGGTATTTATTCAGGTACTAAGTATTCCCTGTGAAATGACGCCAACTTAGGAAATGTGTTTTTCCAGAAAGTCTGATCAAAGTTTACACGCTCGACAGACATTCCACTTGGTGACCACACAATAAAATCACAAACAGATTTTTTACAAATTCCAAGCTGCATTTGCACTTGATAGTAGTATTTATGATTTCTTTTCAATCGAAGTTTGCCATTTTCAATTGTACAAAAAAAGTTGTTTAGCTCCTTTTTTGTTAAGACATTCTTACAATTGTTCATGTTGTTGGGATCACAATGCTTCAAGACATAAGGGCATTTTATTTCAATAAGTCCCTCAAGTCCAGACTGGTCATCTTTTAAGAGTCCATCTGGACTGCAACCTAACTGTGGATGTGCTGGATTAAGCCATAGTCCAGTTTTTTCAACTGTAAAATTTGGACTTTCTTTCAGGTATTGCTCATATGCTTTAGATTCGTTTTCTCGCCCATACAAAATAGCTGGAGTTAAAGGACAGCCTGCCCATAAAAGACGCTTTACTAACCCAGTATGACCCTTATTTACACAAACAACATCTTTGCAATTAGATGCAGTAATTCTGCATTGTCTGTGAAACATCCACATCTCAGATTCTGATTGGTTAATTGTGTTATCTGCCATGAAAGGGTGAGATTTTTCTTCACATGCAGTTTTAAGATTTTCTTGAAACTGACTGCATTGTTGTTTTAGAATTTCAATACCATAGTCGTCAAGGGAAAAGTCATCATATTCATAGTCTAAGAGGGTTGTACAGCCACTATCCCCACCTATGTGCCACAGGTCAGACCTAAAGCTACTTTTTTCATCTTTTGAAATTTCGGTATGTCTTTGATTGCTTGGTCTTGGGTCAGATGTAATAATTTCGATTCCACTAGCCCTTTTTTTCTTCAGTTCTTTTTTCATCGATGAGTATTCCTTAGAATGAACAGTTGATGGTGTTTTATTTTTCTTTCTTCCTTTATTCCAATTACATAGTTTTTCTTTACAGGTGGGTAAATCATACCCGAATTCCGAAACAAAATCTTCTAAAGCGAATAGAAGGGCAGCCACATGTGCACATCTACCTAACCCAGCTGCTGAGCATGTACATGTCCCTTCTTTAACTGCTCCTGAATTTTCTGATATTGTGAGTGTCACTGAATAAGATTTCTGCGAGTATGATGCAAGAACTGTGGATTTTAAAAAGTAGTGATCTTTCTGTTGGTTATCTTCCATGTTTTTCACATGTCCACTTCTAAATAAGCTTCTCCCTTTCGTAAACGACTTGCTGGTGTGCACATCACTAGAACTTTGACCAGTTTCTGCATCACTGTCAGTATCACTGCAGACTTCTAAGGAGTCAAAAGAGGTAACAGTCTCCACAAGATAATGGTATATATTACCATAGTCAAAATGTTTGGGCAAGGTTTTTGAGGGAAATGGATGCCAGCCTGATATTGGTAGATATGGCACTTGGTGGGAGGGTTTTGTTGGTTCTTTTTTCATCTCATACCATTTTCCTTCATCTACCCGAGGATCAATCTTGGCACAAGTCTTTACTGCATTTTCACACCTAAGTACAAAATTATTTAAGTTAAATCACTACTTTTTTTACATTTATTAATTTTCAATAATTATCATGACCTAAGTCATTATCCCATTTAACAGTACCCGCATGGGTCAAGAGTGATATTATACTTTATAGCCCTAATATAGTGCATGTAAATAAATATGGGTAATAAAACATGAATTGTTTCTGTGAAATAGTTTAAAAATTTAATGTGGATGATTTGGTTCCCAATGAGTTAAAGATATCAATGTTGCTTAAATGTGTAAAATTATTAACATATTTCTCTTGGTCAGCCTGAGCTACAAATGCCAGTCTATTCTAATGAAGTAAACAATAACAGAATTTTATAGGAGATAGTTTACCAAACTTTTTATTTGTTTTACCTTTCAATTAGATCTTTTCTTTTCCCAGATGTAGAAAGACCCCTACATTTGAGCCATCTCTTAAGTTGCAAATTAGTGTGTTCTTCAATGCTTATGTGAATAAATTTTGCTCCAGGAACATCGTTTTGGTATATTTGGTTTTGTTTTTGACAACTTGTAGTTACAAAAACCGATTGTGACATTAAAAGAATTCAGAATAATGTAAACTGGTTGGGCAGTTTAGGCTTCATAAACTGCAAAGCGGTTTATAACAAAACATAACCTGTTCCAATGATGTAAACAGCAAATGCCTTCTTTAGCAATTTATGCGGACTATGAAGGTAGCTATCATTACACAAAAAATGAATTAACCCGCTAACGCAGAAAGCATGTTATTGTTTAAATATCTAAAGCTTGTATGAGTCTTTGAGAGCAGAGATAATAATAACCACAGATAATAATAACCACAGATGCTCAAAATAAAGAGGAATAACTGATATGCTATTGGGAAACAAATTAAATGAACAAAATAAAACTTCCTACCTGCGTTGATATAGCAAGATATTTTCTTATAAATCTTGTTCTGATTAATTCAGGTTCTGACTACCCGGTGCAGTTGGCGGTGATCTGCCTCACTGCTGCACATCCATCTAATGGCAAATCTGTTTGTGATCAAGAAAAACGTGTCTGCTATTCGGTGCTACATCAGCATGTACCCTTTGGACAACAGATGCTTGATTCCTGAAGTTATCTCGGGGGATAATAAAATGAAGTCTTTTCGGAGTTTCCTGGTACTTTTTCTACAAACTTCCAATAATTCCATTCTGCAAAGGAATCCCTTTTAATCCACGCAATTTTTAATAAGTCAATAACAAAATCACTTACATTATCTGTAATATATACTTTACCTAACTCATGCCCATTTGCGTCAAAATACTATCATAAGTGACCTACTTATCATTGTACACTGCATTTACTATGTACAGACATACTGATTCCATTATAAATTTTAATTCTGAATGATTTTTTCCACACAAAAATGGGCAAAATTTATGATATTGAAATACTTGAGCTCTAATACATAACCATGACTGATCTTTGACTTGATTGCATAAAAACTAAGTTACACTAAAACCTTATTCCAGTTGCATGTGTTCTTAATCTTGTTTGTTTTGTTGTATTTGTAAATGAGTCGTTTCATTTACAAAATAGAACAATTACCTCTTTAAAAGAGCCCTCTCTGAATATTCAAGAGAATGCATAATTTTTGAATTGTCTCCAATGTCTCGTTTGGATATCCTCTTCTCAAAATCTACCAAGACATTAATTCACCTTCAGAGATTCTCCTTCTATTGGAAAATGTTATTCTCACAATCAACAATTGTGCTAAATGCACATTTTGGTCGTATGTTGGATTCGTGACTTTCATTTGTTGCCACGTGTTACAACCGAGCCCTCCAATTCCAGTAGCAAATGCCTCAACCGACTTACACTCACAATTTAAAGTGACATTTAATTTACAAGTTTGTGAATATATCGATACTATTTATTTATTAATTGACTAATTTATTTACCTTCTTATTTCCCTTTCACCTTGCTCGTTTAGCCGTTTATTGCATGTTATTTTGTTGTTTGTATCTATATTTACTATGTGTTTATTCTTGATTGTATATATGTAACTTTATGTCTTCACATTATCCTCTAATGAGGGAAATAAAGTATGAATGAATGAATGACACATGTGGTTAATACACTAATAATTTGAATGACACGATATATCCCAGTGAGCTTGAAATGAAAGATGCCACACAGTCTGACACACCGCATTTGTTTCATATTTCGATAGTCGCCCGCGTGGCGCAGTGGTTAGAGCGTCTGCTCTAGAGTCGCGAAGTAAGGAGTTGATCCTTATGTCGCGGGTTCGAATCCCACTATGGCACGTGGAGACCAGTCCTTCGGATGAGACCGTGTAAACCGAGGTCCCGTGTTGCAGTGGGTGCTGGCACGAAAAAGATCCCTCACTGTTCAATGGCCGTAAGTGCCGAGTGTAGGACAAAATTTGCAGCTTTCCCCCGGCAAGTGGTGGCGTCTCCATATGAGTGAAAAATTCTCGAGAGGGACGTTAATCAAAATACAATCAATCATATTTCGATATTTTACTAGAAAAAGACGTTAATCGTAATCTAACAACAAAGCTTTATGATAAATGTGATGATTTTAACTCTTCAATCGTCAGCTTCCCTTACTTATACAGCAATATACCCTTATCACCTGTGTATGGGGTGTATATATCTCAGTTGATTCGTAAGAGCATGCTCTATGCATGAACAATTTCTAAAATGAGGTAAGCTATTGAAAAACAAGTTGTTGAGACAAAACTATCAACAGTTTCGTTGAAGTCATCATTTCGTTAGTTCTCTGGTCGATATAATGACCTTGTCAGCAAATACAATCTATTCAATAAGTCATATGCCGACTGACGTTGTTAGGCCATTATTTGCACACTGAATTGTCGACGGATGATTTCGTTATCTACCGATCACAACAAGGAACACACGGCGGGTGTGAACGGTCGGCAGGGCATGCTCACTTTTCCATGGCACCTGATCCCACCTCATGTTTTTGGAGGTCCGTGTTTGCTCTGCTCCCGATTTGTATAGTTTTAATGGACTTTGAGCTTGAATAATGTCCGCTATCTCCATATTTCACCTATGAGAATACCCAAATATCTTGTACAATTCTGAACACCAATAGTGTGATTGTAACATTTAACACAAAAATCTTCAGCTGCTTGGGATAGTTTTGATTTAGGCCCAAATATAATGCTTTCCTTTTTACCCAGATTAGTGTCAGTAGTGTAAAAGCAATGTATTCTCGAATATATATGCTTACACTATGTCGGTTACTACCCTTCTAATATTGGAATGCCCTTCTTAATTGACTTTATAGTTTGTAACGGAGTCATCTAACCAAGTTTCCTATATAATTAATACTGCAGCTTTTGATTTTGTTGCAATTATTTGCAGTTTTGGAACCTTTTAAAGTATGGATTTAGCATTTAGGTGAAGAAAATTTAAGCCCTTGCTTTTAAAGCATTGAGAGTGTTAAGGATCAACGCCTGAGGGTTGCTGAATAAGTTGTCAGTATCTTCATTAATTGTTTCTTTGTAGATTCATTTCCTTGGGCAAAAAAAAAAAGAATTCTGAAAAGTTGGGTAATTCGCAAATGTCACATCCCCTTCTGACCACTTCTTTTATGTGACTGCACATATCGATATACATTTGGTATACATTCTTTACTATCTTTAAATCCTTATAGTTTTCAACCATTGGTATATTTGGTTTTGTTTTTGACAACTTGCGGTAGTTACAAAAACCGATTGTGACGTTAAAAGAATTCAGAATGTCCTTAAATGTAAACTGGTTGGGCAGTTTAGGCTTCATAAACTGCAAAGCGGTTTATAACAAAACATAACCTGTTCCAATGATGTAAACGGCAAATGCCTTCTTTAGCAATTCATGCGGACTATGAAGGTAGCTATCATTACACAAAAAATGAATTAACCCGCTAACGCAGAAAGCATGTTATTGTTTAAATATCTGAAGCTTATATTAGTCTTTGAGAGCAGAGATAATAATAACCACAGATGCTTAAAATAAAGAGGAATAACTGATATACTATTGGGAAACAAATTAAATGTACAAAATAAAACTTCCTACCTGCGTTGATATAGCAAGATATTTTCTTATAAATCTTGTTCTGATTAATTCCGGTTCTGACTACCCGGTGCAGTTTAGCTGCAATAATGTAGCCCTCTCCTTTTTTTTTTTTTTTGGGGGGGGGGGGGGAGCGGGCTACAACTCCTTAGGATCTCCGTAATGGTGCAAGTGCGGGAGTGATTCACTACCGCACAGATTTCGGCTCAAATTGTCAGTAACTGGGTATTTTATTAACATATCTTACCTGAACTCATAAAATGTAGTTATGCAGGACATGAATTGATTCAAAAATATACAGAACAATCCGCATATCGATTATTTTTCGTGTATGTCAACATCACAACTTGAATTTATCTGCCATGTTTACTGACCTTGATCGATTTTATTTTGGGACAACCAATGAGAATTTGGGATCTAGGGGAGCGGATCTGTATGGATTTCCCTTATTATAAGCATAAATATCACTGTTTATGATAAAAATATCACGTGGAATGCTTTTATTTATCGATGTTTAGTTATATCATACAATACAAACATTTATCAACACCGACATTTACATTATCAAGTGATTCTAAATTTCAAGCGCAAGTCTCAGTACATCACGCGAGAACTGTCATGGCTGCTGAGGTGAACGACTGGAAAACACGCAGATTTATTTTACTTGGTTTTCGCGTATAAAGGGCTATGATGTTGATAGTGAATAAAAATTCCGTCTTATTGGAAGTAAGTTGAATGCAAAATCAATTTATTTTGCCTGCAGTCACCCGTATCTAAATAATATATTTGCACCATTACGGAGATGCAGTGGAATTGTAGCCCTCTCCTGAAAATATGAGATTAAAAAAATCGGAGAGGGCTACATTATTGCAGCTAGGTGCAGTTGGCGGTGATCTGCCTCATTGCTGCACATCCATCTAATGGCAAGTCTGTTTGTGATCATGAAAAACGTGTCTGCTATTCGGTGCTACATCAGCATGTACCCCTTGGACAACAGATGCTTGATTCCTGAAGTTATCTCGGGGGATAATAAAATGAAGACTTTCCGGAGTTTCCTGGTACTTTTTCCACAAACTTCCAATAATTCCATTCTGCAAAGAAATCCCTTTTAATCCACGCAATTTTTAATAAGTCAATAACAAAATCACTTACATTATCTGTAATATGTACTTTACCTAACTCATGCCCATTTGCGTCAAAATACTATCATAAGTGACCTACTTATCATTGTACACTGCATTTACTATGTACAGACATACTGATTCTGATATAAATTTTAATTCTGAATGATTTTTTCCACACAAAAATGGGCAAAATTTATGATATTGAAATACTTAAGCTCTAATACATAACCATGACTGATCTTTGACTTGATTGCATAAAAACTAAGTCACACTAAGACCTTATTCCAGTTGCATGTGTTCTTAATCTTGTTTGTTTTGTTGTATTTGTAAATAAGTCATGAGGGCTGCTGAATAAGTTGTCAGGATTTTCATTAATTGTTTCTTTGTAGATTCATTTCCTTGGGCAAAAAAAAAAAAAAAAAAGAATTCTGAAAAGTTGGGTAATTAGCAAATGTCACATCCCCTTCTGACCACTTCTTTTATGTGACTGTACATATAGATATACATTTGGTATACATTCTTTACTATCTTTCAATCCTTATAGTTTTCAACCATTGGTATATTTGGTTTTGTTTTTGACAACTTGCGGTAGTTACAAAAACCGATTGTGACGTTAAAAGAATTCAGAATGTTCTTAAATGTAAACTGGTTGGGCAGTTTAGGCTTCATAAACTGCAAAGCGGTTTATATAAAAAAAAAATACATAACCTGTTCCAATGATGTATAAACAGGAAATGCCTTCTTTAGCAATTCATGCGGACTATGAAAGTAGCTATCATTACACAAAAAATGAATTAACCCGCTAACGCAGAAAGCATGTTATTGTTTAAATATCTGAAGCTTATATTAGTCTTTGAGAGCAGAGATAATAATAACCACAGATGCTTAAAATAAAGAGGAATAACTGATATACTATTGGGAAACAAATTAAATGTACAAAATAAAACTTTCTACCTGCGTTGATATAGCAAGATATTTTCTTATAAATCTTGTACTGATTAATTCCAGTTCTGACTACCCGGTGCAGTTGGCGTTGATCTGCCTCATTGCTGCACATCCATCTAATGGCAAGTCTGTCTGTGATCATGAAAAACGTGTCTGCTATTCGGTGCTACATCAGCATGTACCCCTTGGACAACAGATGCTTGATTCCTGAAGTTATCTCGGGGGATAATAAAATGAAGACTTTCCGGAGTTTCCTGGTACTTTTTCCACAAACTTCCAATAATTCCATTCTGCAAAGAAATCCCTTTTAATCCACGCAATTTTTAACAAGTCAATAACAAAATCACTTACATTATCTGTAATATGTACTTTACCTAACTCATGCCCATTTGCGTCAAAATACTATCATAAGTGACCTACTTATCATTGTACACTGCATTTACTATGTACAGACATACTGATTCTAATATAAGTTTTAATTCTGAATGATTTTTTCCACACAAAAATGGGCAAAATTTATGAAATTG